TTTGCATCAAGCTTCTCCATTTCATCTTTAGGGATGTGCACGGAAGCTCGGCAGCCAAATACCTTCAATTGATTATAGGCTGCTTTCCGACCTATCCATACTTCTTCTGGAATTTCTCCTTCAAGTGGTCGTGATGGTGAGAGGTTGATTAAGTCAACAACAGTTCTGATGGCTTCTCCCCAGAATGATTTCGGCAATCTGGCATTGGATAGCATACTTCAGACCTTCTCTTCAATAGTCCAGTTCATTCTTTCAGCAAGTCCATTCAGCTGAGGTGTCTTAGGGGTGTTTACTCAAGTCGGATCTCGGCCGCTCTGCAATATACATCAACTGGACCATAATTTCACCACCATTGTCAGATCAGACCACCTTCAATTTTTTATCAGTCTCCCTTTCCACAATAGCATGAAACATTTTAAAGGCTTGAAGTACCTGGTCTTTAGATTTCAACAAATACACCCACACTTTGTAGGAGTGATCATCAATGAATGAAACAAAGTACTGAGCTCCTCCGAGGGATCTCTCCGACAAGGAGCAGACATCAGTATGGACGAGGTCAAGAATTTACCTGCATTTTCTGGATTGATCCGGTTTCACGAAAGAAACTCGGTGCTGCTTTCCAGCTAGGCAGTGCGTGCAACTCTCCAACGCTTGGCCTTTCAACCTGATCAATAATCCTTTCTTATTTAAGATTTGGAGCCTTTTCACGCTCATAAGGCCGAGGCGCTTGTGTCACAGCTCCAAGCTATGTCCATCTCGGACAGAATTGGCTTCTCCACCATTTAACTTTCCTTGCATCACATACAAGGATCTTTCCTTCTTACCTCGGGCAACAACCAAGTTTCCCTTGGCCATCTTTCATCAACCACTACCGAAGTAGTTCACTAACCCGACATCATCAAGCTTGCCTACCAAGATTAGTTTCAATCGCATGTCAGGACATGCCTTACATCTTTCAACACAAGTCGGCACCCAACATCCGTGGTTAGGGTTATATAACCAACACTAACAATCTTGCTGGTCACTTGATTTTCCATCTTCATGAATCCAAAATCACCATCTCGGTAAGAGGAGAAAAAAACCTTTATGTGGAGTAACGTGGAAGGAGGCACCGGAGTCAACAATCCATATGCAGTCATCATATGCAACATTCAAATAATTATCTTCGCCGAGGAGAAATATCTCGTCATCCGAGTTGGCAGCCACCACAGTGGCGCTCTTGTCTTCTTTCTTTTTGGATTAATCTAATTCGGCTTTACAGTGTCATTCTTCTCATCTTTCTGCGGAGTCCTGCAGTGCATCTTCTTGTGATTGGGCTTCGCACAATAGAAGCACTTCAATTCATATTTTGGCCTAGACCGGCCTCTGGACTTGTCACGACCCCGACTCTTGCTACGACCCCGAGCGTCGGACCTTCCTCTGTTCTCGGTCATGTTTTCCTCAGATGTGCTGGTTACACCTAGTTTCCTTCTCCTGGACTCTTCATTCAGGTGGTTGTTTGTCACAACATCCATATTCAATTTTCCTTCTGGAGCCGAAATACTCAAAGTCACCATCAAAGTATCCCAGCTTTCTACCAGCGAGCTCAACAGCAGTAAAGCCTGCATCTCGTCATCAGTTTTCATCTCGACTTTTGACAGTTGATTCATAATCCCTTTGTAGATGTTGAGGTGTTCAATCATGCTCATATCATCCTTGTATTTCAACTTCACAAGTCGGCGAACTAGGTGTGCTTTGTTCCTTTCAGTCTTCTTTTGAATCATGGACTCCAATTTGTTCCATAATTCGTACGTGTTCGTGAACTCAGACACGTGCGCAAAGAGGCTTTTGTCTATGTATTTCCTTATTGTAGCTACTGCCTTACGACTTAGGATCTCTCACTCCTTTTCGGTTTTTCCTACCGGTCTCTTATCAAGTGGGCTCATGTAAATTTTTGCAGTAGACATGATCTTCCATCATTGGTCTCCAATAAGTGAAATTATCAGCGTTCAGCTTGAATATATCTCCTTCATGGGTTATGACACTGGTCTCCATTTTGTCTCCTAACTTTCCTAGTCTTTCACTAGAGGTACAATCAAATAATTAAGCATCACCTATAATGGTGGCAATATCAAACTTCCACAAAGAGGTATCTTACTTCAAACTTCTCTCTAGAGGTATTCAAAATTCTTTTTCATATCTCTAAACCTCACACACTATAAGCTTATATAGGGGAGGGATTGAATCACTCAAAGGATGTATCCCTTAAGCCTTGAACCTTCATTTATGGAGAGACATTAAAATCACTCAAAGGATGTGTCCCTTGAGCCTTGCACCAAAAATGGAGAGTTTCAACCTCTTGGGACTAAAGCCAAGCATTGAAAAAGGAACAACTCTCAACATCTGCGACCCATGATCTTGTACCTCCTCTTCCTCATCCACGATCACCATATGTGAAATAACCCCTTTAGGGTCTCTTTCCTTCACAATAACCATCCCAAGAGCTTTATAATACCTTAACAATGCTCCACAAGGGATCATTTTAGCCACATTGCATATTACAGAGCACTCTTTATCTCTAAAGAGCTCTCACCATCTCTAGGAATACACACACTCCTTACAATGTTTTCAACAGAATTTGGGCTAAAAGTATTAGACTTTTCATTTCAACCATTTCTACCTTAACTCCATAGATACAATTACTAGCTCCTAGCTTGACATTTATGTTCACACACACACACTTCTCATTGTCATCCATCTCTACCTTAGCTCCATAGATACAATTACTCGCTCCCAGCTAGACATTTGTGTTCACACACACACATAGTCAGAATAATAAGTCTTACACCAAATTTCAACCGTTGCTTTTCGTACATATAACGGTTGTAAATTATTGGGTAATATTTATAATTGATTATTAATTTCTAGTAAACTATAACCGCTAAATATATTGAAATCAATGGCTAATATTTGACGTGAGATTTAGTATTTTTGCACTAGTATAAGTTAATCCTATGCCATATATATATGTGTGTCTGTCTGTGTGTGTGTAAAAATGTATATCCTTTTAAAAGATTGTCATTTTAAGAGAGAGATAGAGATATATCATTGGGGAGAGAGAGAGAGAAAAAACTCCACTCTTTCCCCCATGATTTATCTTTTTCTCTCTTAAAAGGATACGCATTTTTTCCATATATATATATGGGATTTTTTGACTCTTGTGGAAGTAAGAAGTCTTACTCTCTATTTCATACGTTAATTTCCTTCAATTTAATGATTGTAATGTATTGAGTTATATCAATTAATTAACTAAGTAAACTACAACCATTATATGGACGAAAATTAATAGTTGAGATGGAAAGTAAGACTTCTTAATCTTACTCTTCAGTCAAAATATTCTTATTGACAAATCAAGTTGCAATTAACTGAAAAGCTACTTGCTTTAGTATTTGTATATTTAGGGAGTGTATTGTATTATGATTTAAAAGACTATTTTGACATAAAAAATCTAATAGATTTTAGAAGACTATCTAGAATTGTAATGACTTTAAAGACTTTTTTCATAATCAAGATTTTATAAGATTGGACTTTAAAGGATTTTAATACAATTTATAATATTTGAAATGACAATATAGATTTATAAGATTTCAAAAAATCATATGAATTTTTAACAAAAATTCAAAATTACAAGAGTAAATAAAAAAATAACAAAGAAATGCAATGATATTAATAAAAAAAGTAAAACCTAATATAAATTTCTCAATCAGTAATTTGATGTAAGTTGATATCATACTAGTAACAGCTCTTCACATATCTATACTAGACTTTTTTTCAATCCTTTAAAATCTTAATGGATACCAATAGATTTTTTTGTCTAAAAATAATATATTAAAATTCTTTAAAATCTCAATCCAGTATACACCCCTTAGTTTTTTTTTTTTTTTTTGTAAATACACCCCTTAGTTTTTTTTTTTTTTTTTGTAATACACCCCTTAGTTTTTTGCTTAATAGTGAACCTACACGATTTTAAAAAATATATAATTTTTTTAATAATTGTAATACTTTCCTGCCCTAAGAATTTTTTTAAAATATATATTTTTTAAATAACTTATTATTTGCCGTACCTCAAGTGATGTCACTTTAATTAATATATATATCACTAAGGGAAAAATCACAACCGTTGCAAGCAGGTTGTCGCTTAATTGCAACTTGATTTGTTAATAATTTAATAAATGAAAAATATTATATTTATGACTTTTTTTTCTCTTACAATCGCTTTAGGTTGTTGAATCAAAGTGAAATCAACGGCTCTCATTTAATATTATTTTGTAACCATTAATTTGATTTAGATCTAATAATCGTAAAGTGATTTTAAGAAATTGTAAGAGAGAAAAAAAAGTTATAATCTCATAAAAAAATTATGTCATTTATTAAATGAATTGAGTGGAAAGGAAATTGCGAAGGATGAGAATAGTAACATGCTCTGCTAACCATTGCAGGTGCTAGTTTTACAACTAATCATGTAATGCCGATTGAAGGTTTTCACCTCACAGATGTCGGCAAAGTTTTCACCTCACAGATGTCGGCAAGGATGTCACCTCATACTAGTAACGGTGAGTCAAATTTCGAATTATATTTTAGTTGTTACTAGCTACTGCTCTCTCAAGCTAGAAATAATAGGATGTGGTGGAAAACGACGAAATTATTTGGTCTGAATTCATATGGCAATTTCAATTATGCTGAAAACTACAACTCACTTTCAAAGAAGACAAAATGACGTACGATGCATTGAAAAATACTGACACTATTGCTGATATTGTCGAATTCCCACATAATTTCCAACTTGGCAACTATATGAAGACATAATCAGTTATATCGATGTTGAAAAACCACACCAACTTCTGACTTTATATACAAGGGCTCCACCAAATTATGATGACTCAAGATTGAGACTTGCACCCATCAGTCCTTACACTAAGGCCCCTAACTAGTATAAAAACTTACCATTATTCTCTGTTTTTCACACCAACTCAAAAATCAGTAACATGGGCTCTTCCTTAAGGTTCTTAGTGATCCTACTTGCAGCACTCATTCTCACCCCTCAAGGCCTAGCCAACTATGAAAAACCCCCTGAGTATAAGCCACCTATGTACAAGCCCCCAATAGAGAAACCACCTATGTACAAGCCACCAGTTGAGAAGCCACCTGTTTATAAGCCACCAGTTGAAAAACCACCAGTTTATAAGCCACCAGTTGAGAAGCCACCTGTTTATAAACCACCAGTTGAGAAGCCACCAGTTTACAAGCCTCCATATGAGAAGCCACCAGTTTATAAGCCACCAACTGAAATACCACCTGTTTATAAGCCACCAACTGAGAAGCCACCAGTTTATAAGCCACCAGTTGAGAAGCCACCAGTTTACAAGCCTCCACATGAGAAGCCACCTTATGGTCACTACCCTCCAGCAGATGATAGAACCCGTCTCTAAAGCATGTAAGAGGTCGTACATGAAGGATATGCTAAATAAGAGGTGTAGTTACCGCTTGTCTTCTTCATTTCAACCCTTTATTTACAATGCTATGGCCGAGACAAGAGCATCATAAATGTATGAATGTGAAGCAAAAAAACAGAAATTGGTGCTTTTGTACTCCAAATCATGAATAAAAGGATTTTATGATTTAGATATTGTGTTGTTTTATTACATTGTGATACTATAAATTGCTAAGCCTAAATTACTTAAGTTAAGCATATACTATGCTGAGCTTAAGTATATATAACTCCTAATTCTTGTCATACTACAAAGGTGCATGATGAAAGTTTAGCCTGGGAGGCAGAAACAGACAAAAGAGTAGTTAGTGAAAGTTTCTATTTAGTATTTATTGAACTGCATGCACCTAAACTAACATGGAAATTCGTTGCTTGAGATTTAACACAGTGGAAGCTTTAAGTTAAAAAATAAAATATGTGGGACATAAATTCAATTTCTTACTGAAAAGCAATAGCTATCTCCCTAACCTAGGTAAAACTAACCGGAAAGAGAGAGGAGAATGTATTGGCGGAGCTAGAAAATTTTAAAATTTTTATAAGAGTGGATAAAGAATAAATTTATAAATAAATTTGAAGAATCCTCCAAATTTTCTTTTTATACGAGAAATAATAACATTAAAAATTAAAAGGCAGAAGAAGTTGAAGGAGGAAGACTTATATTATATTATTTTTCTTTTATGTCTCTAGGATTTAGCATAAAAGTTGATGGGGAGTATATTTTTTTATTTTGCATAAGATGATTTTATCTCATGCAATACACAAAAAATTGGATGAGATTCATTAAGAAAAAGAGAGAAAAAAAGTGAATCATATTTACTTTTTGTCATGGGCGGACCTATGTTATTGCAACTGTGTGCAAGTGCAGACATAAATATTTGGAAAAAAATAGTAAAGTAATTTTTGGGTCCTCAACAAAAATTATGGGATCCAATTTAATCCCTTAGAAAAAAAGTCGACTTTTGGTCCCTATGAATTACAAAATAGATTCAATTAAAGAAATTGTGGTTCCTCTGAAATTCAAAGAAGACTAGTCCCTCAAAAGAACTAACATGGTCTATTTTGAAATTCAGAGAGATCATAAGTTGACTTATTTTTCTAAAAAATTAAATTGGAACTCGTCATTTTTATTGAGATCCTAAAAGTACTTTACTCAAAAAAAAAATTGAAGTTGAAGTTTTCTTTTCTTTTATTATTTATATTTTTTTGTTTTCTAATATATTTAAAACTTTCAATAAAAGGAAATTTAGGGAGCATTGTCCTATAACTCTCGTCCCTAAAAATGCAAACATAATTTTTTTTTTTTGCTGAGTATGCCATTATTATTTTTTGTGTGTGCATACAATAAAATTATTCGTTTAAGATGATAAATATAGTTTTCAAAGTTTATATAGATTGAGGGGGCAAGTATTAGGTTTTTTCACCTTTTTTCCCCTCATTAATTATTTAATAATCATTTTGCCTCTTATTACAAACTATCTATCAATCTGTCCCTCTTTAATCGATTAAATTGAATATTTAATCGATTAAATGGTCAAATCTTCAACTTAATCGATTAAATCTTCAACTTAATCGATTAAATCTTCAACTTAATCGATTAAATCTTCCTCTTTATCAGAAGAACAGCCTTATGCATGAGAGATTTAATCGATTAAATAGAAAGATTTAATTGACTAAATCTTCAAGTCAACGATTTTTGTCTATTTTGACCATTTAATCGATTAATTTTTTGGCTTAATCGATTAAAGAGGAACAGATTGGTAGATAGTTCTGAATAAGGGGCAAAATAGTTATTAAATAATTAATGAGGGACAAAAGGGTGAAAAAGTCGCAAGCATTAGCTCTTGTTGGGCCCACCATGGGTAGCTGCCACGTGTATCGAATGAGTACCATTACCAGATAATGAAGTGCCCTTACTCGTCAATGAAAGCTTCTGATACCATCTTTTACGTACTGCGTCTTAGGATATACTTGTACTTCGTTCAGCACACAAAATTTACCATGAGTTTAGTGAAAATCAGCATTAAATACGCATGCAAAGTATATGAAAGTTAGCCAATAAATTCAATTTCTTAGGCTATGGTTGGTATAGAGAAAATCATTTTATGTATAATTTCTTAAAATATCGTCACAATATATATAGAGGCAAGATCATTTGATACCCGAGTCAAATTTAAAATTTTATATCTCATCTGAGAGCTGTTAGATAAAAAAAGATCAACGACTCTGATTTGTAAGCATGTGACACCATTGATTTTTTTTATATAACGACTTTTAGATGAGGTGTCAAATTTCAAATTTGACACCGGTGATATCCCATAAATTATTTTTTAAAATTATTTTTTATTTTAAAAATCACATAAAGTAATTACAAGAAATAAATAATTTATTTATTTTTTAAATAATTACCTTTCTTCTAGTAAATCAACACTCAATTTTGTAATTTGTCTCCCGCAGTTGATATGTCTTTATCGTTTGTTGCGTGCTTCTACGGTAATATTCACAATCGACCATTGTGGATTTAACACATAAATATAATCACCTAAGTAGGCAATTTTCTTTAAAAAAATACATGTCGAATACGTGTCAGATATCGACATGCTCTGATACATTCTGACACACGGTTAATATTTTGGGATACGCGGTTAACCTTTTAATACGTGGTCAATGCTCCAACATACATCCAACATGTTTTTTTAGGTCTAAATTTGATTTTATTAACTAAACATGAAAAAATAATTTATAAATCAATTTTTTTCTATTATAAAATTTGACATAAAAAATTAACAAGGTACAAAAAATTATTTTTGCTTTATATTTATGTTATGGAATTTAAATATTTGATTAGTTATATGACTTATTATAGGCTGTTATATGTATTAAATACAAATTATATTTTAAAAATGTATATGTATTAAAAATATTATTTAATATCAAAAATCATTCCTAACATATCGAAATATAACATTTTTTAGAATTAGCAAATTAACATGTCACATTGTGTCCCATATCAATGTCGGATCAACATAGGATATAGAACCAACATGATATTTAAGTACCAATAATTAGGTCACAAGATAAAAAATTTGTATTGTTAGTTATTTCATGGTTAATGTAGACAGCTAAAAACTTTTTATATCCATTTAATACCCACAAAACAACGTAAAGTTTTTTAATTGTAATATCATTTATATTATTGTGTAATGTTTTGTATATAATAAGGCGGCGAAAACTTTTTAACTTAGTTATATGTATAATATTTCTATTATATGAAAAAACAAATAAATTTTATTTTTTTTATTAGATAAGACTTATATTTATAATTTTTTTTTTTTAAAACTACATTATATACTATAAGTAATACATATTACTTGAGCATGTATTATTTATAATATATAGTATAGTTTATAAAAATTTATAGATAAAAAATTTACAAATATAATCTACTCTTATTCTTATATTATTCCTTATTTTTTAGGAAAGAACTAAAAGATGAAGGGAAAAATGTTTATCTTTTTAAATGACACAACTTATATCTTTTCACTCTCATAAAGAGGTGGGATCCACACGTTTATTTTTTTGTCAACTCTCTCTCCTCCTTTATCTATTTCTTTCTCTCTTAAAATAACATAATTTTACATTCTTTAAAATGACATACAACTTACTCATAAATAAATGATGAAAATATAAGAGTCGTAGAATTAATTTCACCAAATCAGTTAACGTTCTAAATTGACTGATTGCCATATAGCCCTGTCATTTCGTCAGGAAAAGGACAGATTAGTATTTACGGGATCGCAGACTACTTCTTTTCTTTTTAATCATAAACGAAACTTTATAATGACATTGAACCAAAGGTCAGCAATGAAACAAAAATATCGGGAAAAACATAGTTACGGATTTGATAATTACTCAGAGAAGATCAACGGTTTGTCTGATGAGATTAGATCGGTTCTTTTAATGAGATGTAGTATTTTAATATAGGGATTAACGTTTGAGATAATTTTTATCTCTTACATACATATAAAAGTTTAGAAAATGGATCCTCTCATGTGGAAAAAAAAAATGATATGGTCATGTGGGAAGATCACAATCATACAAACGTAAATCAACGGTTATGATTTTGTAACTACCTATTTTAACATTTGTTTCTCTCTCCTCCTTTATTACCATTGATCTACTTTTGTATGGTTATGATTTTCCACATGACATGGTCATGTGAATTTTCACATGAGAGGATCCATATCCAAAAGTTTATGAGATTCATGTGAGACTATATAAAGAGAAAATAGAGAAAAAAAATAAAAGAGAGTCAAATACATTTATGGTCCTCAACATATATCACATTGTCTAATTTAATCCCTTAAAAAAAATTGACTCGTAGTCCCTCTAAAATTCAAAATAGACCATGATTAGGGGTGATAAATGAGCCAGGGGCCTTTGGCTCGGCTCGTGAAGGCCTGAGCTTACATGCCTAATATTGGTTGTTGGAACCAGGCTTGAACTTGTATAAAAGCTCGTTTAGTAAAAAGGGCTCATGCTCCAATTTAAAAGCTCGGCTTTGGAGCCTCTCAGGCTGGTCTAGTATATTAATTTTTATTTTTATTTATATTTTTTATATTATTTGTAATAGCCCTCTCTCTCCTCTCAATCCATTTCACCCATTTTATTAGTTAAACAGACTTTTTGAATTATTTTGTTCTATATTATGCTGTTTGGATATACATTGAATTTATTAATATTTATGGAATTACTAGTGTTGTTGATTGTATATTCTGTTTGGATAAATTTTTGTTATCTTATTTTTTTCTAACAGGCTAAATCAGGTTTTTATTTTTCGTAAATAAGGTAGGCCACATGCCGATAATTATATTTGTAACAGGTAACAAGCTTGGTAAGGCCGACACATTTAAATACAGGCTTAGCCTTTTAAAACCAAAGCTCGTTACTCTTAAGGTATCTAATTCATAGATACCTAGAGAGCACAAAATCCCATATTGATCTACTAGTCCTAGACTAGACATCTCTGTCACATAGACAGAACATCGTTGTCGTCTGTGGGGAACGACGAAAGAAATTTCAAATCCTACAAAAATCATGGCACGCACCACCAGAAGTGGTTATCGACACACACCAT